CTCCTGTGGCCAAGCACGTGGCCTGCCCGCGCACCCTGAGGCGCCCGCCTTCTCGCCACTGGACCCCCGTTTGGACCCTGGTGGGAAAATGTGGGATTTGGTAGGTGGCCCCATTCCGTGTCTCCCAGCAACCAGAGGCCTTGAAGGTGGCAACCCTCAAAGCCCGAGTGTGGAGTGTGTGGTGTGCGTGTGTGTATGTGTGTGTGTGTACGTGAATGCGTGTGCACGTGTGTTGTGTGTGACTGTGTGTGTGAGAGTATGTGAGTGTGTGCATGCAAAAGTGTGTGTGTGTAGGTGTGTAAGCGTGTATGGGCATGTGAGTCTGCACATGTGCCTGAGTGTATGTAAGTGCGAGAGTGTGTATACGTGTTTGTGTGAGTGTGTGTGCACATGCATGTGTGCACATGTGAGTGTGTATTGCCTGAGCGTGTGTCGTGTGTGGCCGACACTGTAGCATGTCTGTAGGATTGTCAGGCTTCTGGGTTTCCTGGGCCCTGTTGGCAGTTTTTCCGATGAGCAGCCGGCATGGAGACAGAGGCAGTCCCTCTGTGTGGGGAGAGGCGGCTGGTTGGGGTGACCGTTATGAGGCACAAGGGTGGGCGCCCCGTGGAGTGGGTGAGGGATGCACTGAAGGGCCCTGGGTGGCTGGGTGGGGGCACAGTGCTCATGGGCCATGTGGGCCAGCTGCTTTTGCCTTGTTTCCGGGCCATGGGGTCCTCAAGCGTAGGCAGCTACATTTCATCATGGCAGACCCGGCGAGGGCGTGGACGTCCGAGGGCAAGCCCTTTCCCCTCCCGCTGAAACGCGCAGCCGCATGCCTGTCCCGGGACAGCCTCGAGCAGTCGTCTCCCATCCAAAGGCCAGAGCAGTGTTTACACTCGCATTAGTCCTCGGCAGGGAAGCTGATTTTTTGGACCAAATCCCCATCAGGGACTGAAACTCTCTTTCCCTCCCTCCATCCACTAGGAGTTTTTTGTGTGATGTCTTGTTTTTTGTTGCTGTCCGAGAAGCAGAGTGGTGTTGCCAGTCCCTGTTAGTGCCAGGTTCTAACCTGGAGGGACCCCGATGAGCCTGCGAGGTGTGTGACACTCAGGAAGCCCTCCGGGACTACAGGTACGGTACACAGGACAAGAAGGCATCATCCAGGAGACGACACTGAGCCTAAGAAAAGACTTATCATCGAGGACTCAGAAGCCACCAGAGCAGAGAAAAAAAATCATTGCAGACACTGAGTGTGTTGTTCAGAAACAAATCGGCACTCCAGAGGGAATTCTCTGGGCATTGCCCACAGGGAAAATGGGGAAAAATGTTTGGTATTTGTGCCCCAGCCTGGGCTCTGTGCAGCAAGGGGGAGGTTGGGGGTTGCTGCTGTGAGCCCTGGGAATGACCCAGAGACACGCGAGTCAAGAAGGGCCTGGATTCCAGCGTGAGGAGCTAAAGGGTGGCCTTGGGGACAAGGGCTTCTGCAGGGAGTAGCAAATACAGGTGCCACGAAGCTGTAAGGGTGGAGGGTCAGCTGGGAGAATAAAGGGACCTGACCTTGTGCCAGGGAAAGGCCAGGCCACCCTGGCTTCAGGTCTGGCTTTGCGGGGATTAAGAACAATAAACAATCAAATGGAAGTTGAGTGCTCACTGTGTGCCAGGCTCCATCCTAAGTGCTGAAATAGAGAGATATCTACGATCTCATTTAATCCTCACAGCTCTATGAGGGAGATGAGGAGACTGAAGCCTAGGGAATTTAAGACATTGGCCCAAGGACACACATCCATGAAGCTGGTCTCAGACCCGAGTGGAGTGACTTCCAAAGTCATGCTCTAAATGAGCACTTCTCACACACTAATGTGCACGTGAGTTACCCGGGGGACTTCTAAAATGCAGGCTCTGATTCAGTTGCTCGGGGGGAAGAGGGCTTGGACGTGTCCCAGGGTAATGTCTGTGTGGCTGGTCTGTGCACCACACCCCCGTGCCACACGGATCGAAGGGGGTCGTCCTGAGCCATCCATTAGCTCACAGACCTCTTCATCCTCTTTCTTCTTCACATCATCATCTGCTTGCTGAGTAGCCTACTGTGTTAGAAGTTCTACCTTAAACTCATTAAACACGTTGCCTCATGAAAGCTTCGTGATGACACTATGAGCTAAGCGGCATCGTTCCCCTCTTACAGATGAGGAAACAGAGGCTTGGAAAGGTTAAGTCAATTGCCCCACATCACACAGGAAGTGTCGAGCCTCGGTATGGAGTTCAAAGTCTGGGCTCTTAACATTTTGCAAAGAGCAGAGCACTGAAATCGAGCTGGGACTTCCAGGGTGTCAACACAGGCCCTGGAGGCTGAAAAACTTTCCTCTTTAGACTCCAAGTCGGGGAGCGAGGGAGAAAGGACAACTTTCTAGAGTTAGAATCAAACTCCTCCCTTTTGTCCCTTCTCTTGTTCACGGCCCTTCCTTCTCTTCCCCCAGATTCCTCAGCAAAAAGCCAACAATCCTTGCAGCCAGCGTCTCAGCAAGTGCAAACATACTCGACTTCCTCATGCACCTATAATCCCTTCTTAAATAACATAAAGCTATTTGCCCTTATAAATCTCCCAGCAGTGAGCTCCCTGGGATAATCCTGTGTAATATAAACATTAATATATTAATTTATAACTTAATATGAATTAATATATTAATTTATAATTATATATCATATACAATGTAATATATATATAATTATGTGAGCTCCCTGGGATAATTATACATAATATATAATATAATTATATAACTTTATGAGTCCAACTCTAACACAAAAATTCAACCTATTTAAGCCCACAACTCAATTATAATTTCCCCACCGTTTATAGGTCTGTGGCATTTAAATTTGGACTGTCCCTTACATTTCACTTTGTTAGGAGAAGCAGCCACAGAAAGGAAACCTTCTGACTGGGAGAAAGAAGTGACTTTGAATGCCAGCTGTGCCCCCTGCTAGTTTCGTGAACTTGAGCAAGTTTCCGGACTCCCTGAGCTTCTGTTTCCTCCTCCATGAAACGGGGGTGCCAACAGTGCCCGCCTCCTGAGGTTGCCGTGAAGGTTACGTAAGCTGTAACTACGGGGAGGTGTCTGGAATAAGATGGAGGATCGATGAATGTAGAATCTTCTTTTCTCCTGGTAGTGGGAAACAATAACCAGGACGTGACTGGCTTCTCTGTGTCGCTCATGGTTTTATGGTGTCTCCTCCCTTTGAACAGCTAGCCATCGTTTTTCTATAACTGCTAATTACCAAATTAGCCCGCGGCTCTAGGCAGGGGTGGGCTGCGCCCAGATCAGTTCCCTCCTGTGTCATTTCAGTTTTTTTGTTGTTTAGTTTAATTCTTGGGACTGTTTCTAGCTCTGCGCAAGGCCCTACGCCAGCTGGTCTGTCCTTTCTGTGTCTACTTCACCCCCGTTAACCTGCTTGGTCAGCATATCTTCCCGTCTCCTTGCTGTGCTTTCCGGAGGGCGTCTGTCTGGAAAAGGCATTTATCGTATTTATTCTAACCAGCCTTATTTGGCAAGGCAGCCCGGGATTTCAGCTCAGGAGGAAAACAGCTTTGATTATACTGCCCTTGTTTGTGGTACGCACTCTTTGCTGTGTATCCCTTGTCTACTAAGACGGCAAATACTTCTGCAGGAATCCAAGACACAAGTTAAACAGAGTCTGTCTGTGAGCGCGCTGGCAGCCACTGGTCCACGACCGCTTTGACAGCATCTGCCTCGACTGAAACCCACGCCCTGTATCTCCAGTCGCCCACCATCGGTGAGGTTGGGCAGGTAGGTTTTCTTGGATGGGTGAGCCAAAGGCCCCAGGAGGAGCACCGACTAGGTCCCACACCCACCAAGGGGACAGGGAACGCTCCCCAGCCGTGCATCACGGTCACCCAGGGCACTGCCTTAGCCCTTACCACCATCTTCTCTCCCTTTGACTCCAGCCACAGCCTCCTGGCCAGTTCCCTGCCTCTGCCCTTGCCCTCCTCTGTACCGATCTAGCCATCACACCACCTTACTTAAAATCCCTCAATGGCTCCCCATTGTCCTCAAGAATAAACCCAAACTCTTTAGAGGGTGTATAAGGTATGACCAGGCTCTCGCCCTGTCACCGGCCTCTTGCAGCCCATGCTCCGGTCATAGTGAACTTTTGCATTTTCACTCATTCATTCAGTCAAGAAACGCCGATCTAGGACCTCGTACGTGCTAGACACCGGGCTGGACCCTGAGATTCAGTGATGAGCAAACAGTATGATCCCACTTTCGCAGAGCATTAGGCGTAGGGCGGAGGCTGACGATCACGTGATCGTGCCCACGCGTGTGAAACACGGACTCGAGAGGTGCTGAGGGTCAGTGGTAACTGGAGGGGACGAGCCGGCCTCGCCCGGGAACCAGACAGGCTCCCTGAGAAGTGGCCAGCGACCCGGGCGCTGCGAGGGACGCCTGCGTTGACCAGGCACAGAGGCTGACGGGGAGCCTGCTGGGCAGAGGGAACAGCACGCGCCAGCTCTGCGGCAGGAGGGAACACGCGTTTGAGGAGTGGAAAGAAGCAGAGCCGTGGCCTGGAGCACAGAGAGCCCGGGGCACGTGGGTGGCAGGTGAGACTGGAGAAGGCGGGCGGACCAGGCAGGGCCCGCTGGGCCACAGCAAGGGTCTGGGCTCATCCTAACAGCGGCGGGAAGCCCTGGATGTCTGCACGGTGCAACGGCATAACCGGACACGGACTTAGAAAGGGTCACTGACGGTGTGAAGAGAGGATTTGAAGGGGCCTAGGAGAGAATAAGGGGATTCTCAACCACTGCAGTGGTTACGATCAGAGACGACGGTGGCTTAGACCAGGCGATGGCTGTGCCATGGAGAGTAGTGGGCATATTTGATAGAGACTTAAGAGATGAAATCCATGGGAGTTGGCGGTGGGTCGGATGTAAGAGGGCGGGTTGGGGACAGAGCTGTGAGGGCGTAGAGTCAGCAACCACCACGCACCCAGAGGTAGGTCGTACTCACCTGTAAGGGTGGCCCTGGTGGTTGGGCCGAGGCCCTTGGGGACCAGCACCTCGTGGTACTGCTCCCCCGCCAGGGTGCTGTACACAACCTTGTACTCCTGAACCTCTGCCTCACTGTTGTCCCACTCGAGGTCAAGGCTGGTGGCCGTGCGGGAACCAACTCGCAAGTTCTTGGGGGCATCAATCTCTGAAAGCAGACAGACATCGCCGACATCACACACGACCGTGTCCATTTGTGGTGCGTCTCGCACTTTCAAAAGCTTAGCGGTGAGAGCCCACACTCTGGACCGCTGCTCGCGTTGAGTGCACCCCGTGTCTGCCCCTCCTTCTCAGTCTGCCACAGTAACTTCCTCGGGCAGGCCAGGGTCTCACTCGGGAGTTAAATATCAACACACTCTGTGCTCCCCCCATTGCCATTCAGGAGTTCCAGTGGTGTCCTCGAAACCTTAAAATGAACCGATTAATGTCAGAAGCTTAAGAACAAAGCAAGGGAAAGCCCAGTGGGATGAAATCAGAGACAACTCCTGAATGATTAAGATGCAATAGGGCAATATAATATTTGACCACTAAGCAAACAAAGACAGTTGGTGTCAAGATTTTGAAGCTTCAGATATCCTCCCCTGTGTTCACTCACACAGACCCCGCCATTAAGGTTAAGATGCGGAAAGAGGATGTGATGTACGGGAAGAATATAGGCACTGGCGTCAGGCCTCAGTTTGAGCCCAGCTCTGACACTTTTGGTAGCGGGACCATGAACATGGCTTTTAACTTCACTTGGCCCTGACGGCCACCTCTGTGAAAGGGAGAAAAAACGCTGACATTTCATCTTGTTGTACGGATTAGACAATGACTCCGAGGTATGTGGCACAGCGCCTGGTACAAAAATAAGTGCCAAGCCCTGGGCTGGCTCCTGCTGCTCCTGAAGCTTGTCCTGAGTCCCAGAGACGTGGCACCTGATGTCTGCTCTCGAGCTGCAATGAAGGGACCCGGCCTTGGGTTCTCTCCTGCAGTCCTGGGGAGCCGCTTCTCTCCCCGGGGACTGGACATCCCCAAGGGTTTATTTGGGTAGAAACAGCGTAATCAACTTGCAGTGAAATAAAGTTTTGCCCTGAAAAGCTGCCACTTAAAAAGTTCCAAATAGTTCTTGTCTTTGGGCTTGAGCTTCACTTTGGAGTGAACCAACCATGTGTTCTGAGAGGAGCTCCAGTGGATTGTTTAAATTTGCAAATGCAAGGCAGGTTTCCACCAGTTGTTCTTGTGGAAGACTGAAATCAATCCGAGCAGGAGCTTTGGAGTGAGAAGTGCTCTGTTTAGGGATGTAAATTGGGTGAATCTCTTAGCAGATTTATGTCTCTGCAGCTTATTTTTCTGAGAAATGTTTCCTCATTCAGTGTACTTTGGCAAGCCAGATGCTGTGCATTCTTGATGTGCCGTGTGTTACTCCCTAGCAGTCGGATGGAAGAGCTTGGATGGACAGGCGTTGGCGGCACGCACGTGCAGGAGAGACTGGGCAAAGGGGCTGCACCGGGCTTGGGGGGTGGGCCCGAACTGAACTGGAGCAAAGCGAATTTAGGGTTAGGATTGAGGTTGAGACCCGTACCGAGTGCCCTTCACAACTAAAAACCTAGATCTTGGAAATATTAGACTGTGGCTTTGTGTTTTTTTGGTTTTGGGGTGTTTTTTGGTTTTGGTCATAGGGCCTGTGCCCTGTGGAGAAGGGCAGTGTTTTCTCTGAAGGGTTCAGACACTTCCAGTGTCAATGATCCTACCAGGGGTCAATCCTGAGAACAAGGGCTTGGCAGTGGAACTGTTTGCTCCCCGGGGCCTTGAAGCCTGGCCTCCAGAGGGGGCAGCTGAAGGGCACCCCTGTTGGTGGAAGCTGAGCTGGTCCCTGCAACGTCAGCAGGTCCCAGGGGAGGCAAAGCCAGATGTCTAGCGGAGCCCCTGTGGAGGGGCGTGGCACTGTGGACTCCGGTATTAGCCATGTCTAGCCTTTAAAACGTAAATGAGACCAAGTGATTCCCCTGCCAACGTTTCAGTTGCTTCCTATTACAAATGCCTGATTGTGGTCTGCAGGGCTCTGCGTGACCTGTCCCTGCCTGCTTCTCAGATACCACCTGGGAACCGTCTACCCGTATTCACAGTGCTCCAGCTCAAAACACATCAAGCCTATTCCTACCTCAGGGCCTTTGCTCTGGCTACTACCTTTGCCTGGAATGTTCTTCTACAGATCCTCAGGCTTAGGTCATTTAGGTCTTAGTTAAAATGTCACCTCCTTGGAGAGACCTTTCCAAACTACTCAATCCAATATGGCCAGCCCTCTACATCACCATTCACCTCTCATCACAGTACTCATGATTGAAATGATTTGGGTGCTTGCTTTCCTCTTCATTGTCCTGTTCTCCCCCTGGAATATAATTCTCGTGACCCAGGATCTTGTCTATTTTGTTTATTCTGGAGCCTCAGTGCCTAGAACAGTGCCTGAGACCTGGTAGGTGTTCAAAAAATACGTATTAAGTGACTGAATGAATATTGTCAGTTCTCTGTCTTGTTTGCTCCCTCAAAGCCTTTAGAAAAGTCTTGTTAAGTATTTCAGCGGTGGGGCTTTGAGGATGCTTGGGGCGAGGTGGTGCAGGGAAGAGAACAGCGCTGACCGAGGGTTCTGGTCTTGCAAATGCAGGAAGCCCCCTCTGTGGTTTGCAGCCAGATTCTCGGCTGAGGTTCAAGTGTCATCCAGGCTGAAACTGCGACAGAATTTCCTGGAGAATCCTAGAGTGGAGTCACCACGAGCAGGTGGGGGCTGGAACTGTTGTCACTTGGGAGTTCCCTACTAATTTCCTGGGGCTGCTGGGTGTCTTGAACAATTAGAAATTTATTGTCTCACAGACTAAACGTCAAGGTGTTGGCAGGGCCGCTTCCTTCTGAGAGCTGCGAGGGGAATCCGTTGCATGCCTCTCTCCTGGCTGCTAGTGATTTGCTGGTGATCTTTGGCATTTCTTGACTCATAGAAGAATCTCTCTGATCGCTGTCTTCATCTTCACGTGGTGTTCTCCTCGTGTGCATGTCCGTACCTGTGTCCAAATTTCCCCTTTGTACAAGGACACAGTCATACTGGATTATACTGGATTAGGGCCCACTCTAATGACCTCATCTTTATTTGCTTGTCTGCAAAGACCCTATTTCCAAATAAGGTCGTACTCATAGGCGCTGGGGATGAAGACTTCAACGTCTTTTTAGAGGACACAATTCAAGCCATATCAGCAATAAAGAGAGGTCTGGGGCATTTGGGTCAGCTGTCAGACAGCAGCCTGTGGTTGACCAAATGCTCTGGTGGCTGTGCTTGGTGCCTTGAAGGGGTGTGCTCAAAGAGGAGGCCTCCCGTGGAAACGGTCCCAGCATTTCCTCCACGAGAGCAATTGAAGGCAGAACTGCTGAGGGCAGGGACGGGCTTCGGGAATTGGCCTCCGGGTTTCCTTGGGTTGGCTTCTGTCCAATTCCTGGCCTTCGTGTGCTTCAGTCAGGGCTCTTTCCTTTTTTCGGCACAGCTCTAAGACCCAGGCAAACATTCCACTCACCATGCAGAAAGCAAATCTCTGTTTTAATTGCCTGTGCAATTAGCGCACTCCTAGTGTCGAAGCCATCACCTGGAAAAGCACTTTGGCTAATTGGAATTTAAGCAGAGTTCTGAAATGACTGAGGGCCCTACTGCGAGGGCCTGGGTACCTTTTCATCATTCCACTGGCACCTGCCAGCCCGGGCCTTGAGAATCTGTCTGCAAAGCTGTTTGCGTCTCCCCATTCCTTCTTTCCCCTCCCCCCCACAGCAGAGGGGAGAGGCTTGGGGTACAGGCTGGGACTGCATCCAGAAGGCAGCCACCCAACAGCTGCCAATCCACCAGGCAACCGGAAACAGAAAAATCACGCCGCAGTGAACTGAAACTCAGGGGGAGCTCCTAGGAGGCAGGATGTAATTGTCTTGATTGGAATTTTCCTGGGCCACCAGCCAATGCTGCTTCCATCTTGTCGGCCTGAACATCGAGAATTTGTTTTTCATCACGCTGCTCGAGAGCTCTCTTCTCCTGCTTTGCCTCTTGAAACCCCTTATCAGAGCTTAGCACAAAGAAATAATTTTCAAACAAAAACTATCTTGAAACTAAGGAAAGAAGGCAGGACTCACGGTTCATGGGAGATACCACCGCCCCGAGCAAGTGTGGTGTGGGATGGGGGAGGGAAGGCTGATCTTGAATTAACCAAGAAGGGACATTGTGGGGTGTCCTTCCTCATGCTCGGCCCTGGACATTTTTGGTTAAGTGAGGGAGAAGGAGGGAAGAGAAATGGGAAGAATTCAGTTCCTTTCTTCAAGGAGCACACGCAGTCACCAGGGATCCCAAGATGTGTTCAGTAAAATTCCCTCTGGCACCTCTGGGTGAGAAGGTGGCATCTGGCACAGGGGCTGGAGAGAAAACCTAGAAGAGCCTTTCAGAATGAAACGCTTCCTTGTCCACTTTGCCAGTGTCTACGCTGGCTCCCTTTTCAGAGGGAGCTTTTCCCTTCCCGGTGTTTCCTTCTGTGTCTAGGCAGCCTTGTCACAGACTGCTGGCCTCCCTGCGCGCCGGGCAGGATGAACTTACCTGAACGCTGAGTTCCGCAGCAGGGCCAGGCCGGCCCTTCGGCTCCCCTCTCTCGTGGGACGGGCTGCTCCGGGGTTCAGGCCTCTACCTGTTCCTCACGCCATAAGTCCCAACCTGAGTGGCCCTGGCTCCTGCCGCGTGGAGAGACTTGCCAACTCCGCAGTGGCCGTCCAGTTTGCAAACCCGTCCGGCTGTCACGCTAAGCTACGTGCTCCAGTCTAGGGGATATTTTGGTGTCCATCTGTCTTATTCGCCTTATTAATCAATTGATTTTTAAACACAGGTGGTGCAGAGAGGTGCTATTTCTCCAGTCACTCTGAGCCTCCTTGAATTCCCTGGCCTCACCCGTCGATGGGCTCTTAGGCCACGACCGAAAGTAGGATGCTTGAATTAGTGATTCTTCTTCTACTTTACCCCATCAGAAGATACCAGATCTTAGATCTTACAGATGTTATCAGTTTTCTTTGATCCCTAGGACAACTTGGAGTTGGCAGAGACATTCCTTGACGTGTGACCTCCCCAAGGCGGAGAGGCTGAGACCAAGATTCTGGGTTAGATAGAGACTCAGTCACTAATCTGTTCATAGGCCCTTGTTGACCCAGTGAGGGGACTTTCTGACACCTCCTTTGGTGTCACCATCCTACTTGCCTACTAGCTGTCAGACTGATGGGCACTGAGAGAGGGAGCAAGTCATCCTGAGGTCTGGCGTTCACGACTGTTGGTGAAGCTCTTCAAGAGGCCCAACGGCCTGGGGAAGGGGAATGGGTGGCCATCACAGCAAGGCAGGAGACCTTCATATGGGCTCTGTTCAGCCCCTCGTCTATGGGTATCGGGCCTCATGTTAGCCTTATTGCTAGTGCTTACCAGTGGAGGGGAGTCACAAAATCTCAGCTGGACAGTCTCCCTGTGGCTGTCCAGGTGGGGCTTTACCACCTCATGGTGGTGAGGCCGTTACAGATTTATAGAATTGTGACAGTGATTTCCAGCAAATGGCAATAAAATGTCTTGAGGAAGAGGCACATTTCCTGAACTCTCGCAAAATTGTCATTTGGGCTAGCAATATGGACGCTTAAATGTGTTCAGGACAAACTTGTCATTTTATAAACAGGAAACCTGAGGCGCATAGCGGGGAAGGACTTACACCAAGCCTCAGGTCCGGCTGGCAGCAGAGGTAGGACGAGAACACAGTTCTCCTTACTGCGAGTGCCCTGCTTCTCCTCTACAGTGTGATTCCCACACCCTCAGGAGGCCCCGAAACCCCTCCTTTCCTTCTTCTTCTTCTTCTTTTTTTTTTTTTTGAGACATGGTCTTGCTCTGTTGCCCAGCCTGGCGTGCAGCGGCATAGCGTCATCATAGCTCACTGCGACCTCCAGCTCCAACTCCTGCCTCAGCCTCCTGAGTAGCTGGGACTGCCGGCACACACCACCCACCACGCCTGGCTAATTTTTCTATTTTTTCTAGAGACGGGAGGTCTCGCTATTGCCCAGGCTGGTCTCGAATCCTCGGCTCAAACGATCCTCCCGCCTCCGCCTCCCAAAGTGCTGGGATTAAGGCAGGAGCCACGGTGCCTCGCTCGCATCCTTCCTGCAGGGCCTGTGGCTGCTCAGGCACATCTCTCCCCACTCCCTTAGTACTCCGCTTGCCGCCGACACCCCCAGCTGGCGCGACCCCGCCCTGGCTCTCGCCTGCCACGGCTTTACCTGTTGTGAACTGGGCGGTGGTGGAGTCGCTCTCGTTGGTCCCTCGGACTGCGCTGACTGACACCTTGTAGCGGGAGCCTGGCCGCAGCGCCTGCACCGAGTACTGGCTCAGCGGGGGCTGCAGCCGGAAGGTGGTCTTCCCGCCTTCCCCGCCCTCCAAGCCGTATTTCAACAGAATGAAATCGACTTTGGCTCGAGGTGGTGTCCATTCCACGAAAGCCACGGTGTCGGAGACGTCTCGAACCAGGATCTGCGTGGGCCCGTCGATGACTGAATGACAAGGATCAGACAGAACAAAAAGAAAATAGCCTTCAGCGTCAGCTCTGTCCTTTCCTTCTCTGAAGGAAGGCATTGTGTGCCAGTCAGAGAGGGGCAGGGGGTTATTAGCCCATATTATAGACGAGGAAAGTGAGACACTGGAAAATGAAACCTCTCTCCCGAGGACACGTAGTTTGCGATGGGGAACTGATACTGGAACTCAGTTCCCCGAATCTCGGTCTAATTCTTTGACCAGACTGTAGCTTCCAGGTGCGGGCGTTCCCCATCGTGCAAGGCAAGGACACTTTCTAACTAGGGAGAGTCGGCCCTTTTCTCTGTGGACATGACGGGACAGAGCACTGAGGACTGGGCTTCCGGTGTTCTCGACTCTCACCCTCCGTCAGCCCTGAGGAAAGATCTAGGAAGTGACCAGCCTGTCTAAACATCCGAGACTTCCAGCTTGGCTGCCAAAGAGGTCACCGGGAGCGTTCGAAAGATGTTCCTGTGCAGCCAGTCCACCCCTCTGCGAGACCGCGTCAAAACCCAAATGACATTCGCATTTGTGGACACGAAATATGCCTTCTAGGGAAACTCGCTCCTCTGCGTAAGAAGGACCCTGGCTTTGGAACAGCTTCTCATGGGTCATTTTTTCCCCACCTGTTCTTGCATGTTCCTGAGCCAGGAGGGCACTGCAGTCACACAGGCCTTCAGGGATCCCCAGCACGTGACCCTCACATGCCCGGGTCCCTGGCGCTGTGCTGCTGAGGGCAACACCTAGAAAGCTGGTTGGTTTCCTGCAGGGCCCAGCACTCATGTTCCAGCACCCACCTGGGGTCCTGTTCACACTGGGTTAGATGGTGGGTGGTGGTGAGGGAATGTAGAAGGGGAGAAAACCAAAGGCTTATTGAGGAGAACAGAAGGTGGTGTTCTCAACTTCCTATGGGATGTCCGCATGGCCAACATGCCCTTCTTTGAGAATTACCTGTTCCTTGCTAAAAGAGTGGGCCTCACTTCCATGTTTACATTTACTATGTGACCACACCCCTCTGACTGGAGCTGATTAAGATTGATATTAATATTCTTTGAGGATTTGCAATGGAAACCAGAAACTCTGGTTCTCTAATTAGCCTATGTTGCGCTATGCGGAGCCTGGGCTTGTGTGGCCATCTTTTCTACACTGATACAGAAATAGAAAACATTTGATCTGGAGAAAGGGAGAGGAAGTGAGGGAGGGAGACAAAAATGAGTGACCATGTGGAGCTTCTAGAAAGATATAGAGAGTGACTGGATTCCTGACACTCCGTTTTCTGATTCAGGTCTTTCGTGAGGCCCAGATGCATTTCTGGCCCTGGGGCTCCCATGAGACACTCTATGCCCTTCCAGTACATTCTCTCTTTTGCTTCAACTAGTCCTAGGATGTTTCTCTTCCTTGTTACCAGACAGGCCCTACTTGTTTTTTTTCACCTGTCCACAGGGGCCCAGCTCCTGCTCTGTCTCCTTCAGGACTATCTCAGGCTGACCTTGTGCCTCTCGATTTTTCAAAGTTGGGCCTTTTCCTGGGTACCCCGTCTTCCCTTGGGATCTAAGCCTAGTCCTGTTCTCTATTAAGCAGTTTAGGATTTTTGTTCTAGCACTAGCTAACATGAAAATCACCAGATCATTTTGGTGCCACCTGGTTTGTAGTTCAAATGAAGTCCTGGTTTTCATATCTGTGACAGTAATGTTTTTTAACAGAACACATCCAGAAAGTTTCTTTTCAGCACGCTGTACTTGGTGGTTTTAGATAACATGGGCCTTTTACATCTAATTTAATTATGAAATGGAGCAAATGACCCCATAGCTGTTGTATAAGCACAGTACCTGAAACATAGTAGACACTCAGTCAATGGGTGCTGAGTAAATGAAATGAATCTCTTTATTCATGAGAAAGAAGGGGAAACATTTCAATGAATTGGAGCTTTTTGGGGAAAAGAAAAAAAGGTGTCAGGGAAACTGAAATGACCACATAAGGCTTTTGTCCTTCAACTCTTTAAATCCACAAAGCCCTAATCATAATGGATTGGACATATTAGAATGCGATCATGTAGCACCGAGGGCTCTAGCTGCGGGAGGTCTTGTAATTTGCATTCACAAAATGGCCTGCCTGAAAGAAGCCGGTCTGAGAGCCTGATGAGGACACGGAGCTTCGCAGCAGGGGGCTGGTGTAGGTCAGACCTTAGCAGAAGGAAATAATTAAACAGTCGTTTCCTCAAACCAGCAGACAGGACTGGGAGCCAGCCATCTTTTCTGTAGCCTCCCTGGACTCTGCCCCTTGGTTGGCCACTTGGTAGCAATGTTCCATTCCAATCACGGAGGTATCAGCTTACTTTCAACTTCGGTCCTCATTTCTAAACAAACACAAGTCCTACTCAAAAAGTAAACGGGAATGTTTTTCCATTTCCTCGTGACTTGTATGTGATGCCAAAATATTAAAAATTTTATTTTTTCTTAATTGAAAAAAAACCTCTGCCTAGTTTTACCACAGATTTCTAGATCTGGAACTTTAAACTTTAATCTTGAGGAAATTTCAAACCAAAACATACTGCAAATTTTGTAAAACTGTGGTTTGGACAGCGTAAGACAAGGTTGGACTACCTTCTCTAAGCACTCTCAATGCTTTAGGAGAAAGACATCTTCAGCTGCGAAGTTCTCTATGCTCTTAGGAGCCATCTTCTCCTTGCAGCCTTTTGTCTTCTACTAATGCTTTCTTAATATCAAATCACAGGAATGACTTGGACACCCTGAAACTCTCTATATCAGAAGAGGAGAATCTGTATGTGCTGGTGTTGGGCTCAGAACAGGATACCCCAAACTCTGGTGCCTTGGCATGCTGAGTACTTGGAACTAAAGGGGACTGAAAGGGCCTCAGAAGCACCTTTGAAGCAAGGTCTCTCTGACTTCTCCTGTCCGCCTATCTCCTGCCCCTCTCACTCCCCTTGTAGCAACTCATAGAAATCGGAATTGCTCTTCCCTAAGGCGGATCATAGAAAGTAGAACTCCTTTCCCCCAAAGCAAGCCATAAAGCCTAGAAAGGTCACTCTCTCTCCTCTCCCTTCTCCCTTGAAGACCATCATTCCAGAGGGCTCCTGCCCCACCGGGGAGGCCGAGAAGGAATGCTACACAGGGAAGTCAAGAGGAATCTGAACAGAATGGCCTTGCTGGTTTCCCTACTTAGTCGTCACCATTAGATCACAGCCTTTGTCCAAATGCATTTCTACATCACTTTCTTTTCCTCAACAAACCTAATCATAAAAATAGAGTGTCCCAGGGTCTTTGGGTCTTCATTTCTACAGGCTCCCATGTCACGTAACACTTTGTTGTGCTTCCTCCTGTTGACCTGCCTTTTGTCATGGGAATGTTGGCTGTGGCCCTTACAATGGGTGAGGGAAGGAATCACACCTTTCCCCTCCTGCAATATCAAATGCCAACTCTTCAGGTTCCAGCAAACCCTTGGGAGCAGAGCGGTGGAAAAACTCCAGCCACTAGCCTTGTAGAGAGATTCCTACACAGCACTTTAGGTCTTGTGGCTATGGGGTTTCTTCTAAAACATACTGTTTGGATCAGAACAGTGGTTTTAAAGCCTTTTGGGGGGTAAAGCTCTTTTTTTTTTTTTAAGAACAAAATTTGAGATGCCTGTACAAAATACAGAACAGATCGAAGTGTAGCTGCCCTGGTTGGAGGGAGTATTAGCGGTCTGGCTCTCGCCTGCTCCTCGCCTCCAGGCCTTGTGTGGAACCCTAGTGCAGTAAAGGAACATAACTGAATGCCACGACAGTTTCACATGCATGTTTTCTAGATTGAGTATGAGCCTCAGCGCCTGATGCTGTTTAGTTTGGATTCAAGTAGCAAAGTATGAATCACTAATCAGTAAACTTGGTCTCATTACATGAGGTTGTGCGTCCCTTTCCTGCCAACTTGGCCTTTTGTCCTGGACTTAGGACTGGCTTTCTGGGGTGTCAATTTCTCTTAATAAAAAATAAAGCTGTACATATATTCACCTATCTCAGTTTCTATTACTGCCAGGGAAAGTTGCTTAATCTCTGAGTTTTAGCTTGCCCGTCAATAAAATGAGAACCAAAAACTATACCAGATGCTGTTTGTAACTTTTGAGACCTTCTTGGTGTGGGCACACACATATGCATCCCAGCTGCTAATTACAGCATTGAAGTTGAGCGTCCTTTGTTAGCTAAGGAAATAATAAGGCAAAATATGGCACGATTAATGAATCAATCCTGGAAATACGATGATTTTGAATGATATGAACTATGGGGATGAAATAATAATAAACTTTAGCGATCACCTTGAACAGTGACCCAACCTGTCCCTACTGGTTTTGAATGACTGGTTTCCTACTGCTTTCACTTCTAAGTATGTTCCCCAGGTATGCATGAATGTATCAGGTGTTGAGCACTTACTCTCATCCACATGGTGCTAATCACCTTGGGTGCTTTGTCTAATTTAATCTGCCTACTAACTTAAGGAGGTATTGTTGTTCATCTTTGTAAAATGAATTGAGGTTTGGGAAAGTTTAGATGACTTTATCCAAATATCACAATAAGTAAGAGGGAGTCAGCTCTTCCTGGTTCCAAAGCTCATGACACTAGGGCCTGGCAAATGAGGCTTCTTAATCAATAAGATCAGAAGAAATATACTGTAAATCTTAACAAAGAATTTTATCCATAGGACACTCTCCCAGATGTCTGCTTGCAAGGATGAGCAAGAAGGAAAAAACCAGCTAAGCAGCTGGTAGAGTAGCTCCATCTCCAACTCCTGAAACCATCTCAGCTCTGGGAGAAGTCCTAGCACCTCTTTTGTCTCTCCACCTCTTGGGCAACTCTGCAGTTCTTCGCCCTGAGTGACCTAACAGGTCGCCATAAGGAGAAGGCTTGGGGGCACTCACCAGTGGAGACGCTGGCCGAGGTTGGGGGGCTCCGGGCCTGTTCTTTCAGAGCAACCACGTTGACAATGTACTCCTCCCCAGGCTTTAGTCCCGTCTGGTTAAAGGACGTAACATCACTGGGGACCTGAGCGATCACTCCTCCCTCATTGTTCTGGAGAGTGGGGAGAAGTAGAGAAAGCAAAAGAGGAAAAATCACGGGGAGAGAAATCTGATGAGAGAAAGATAACAGTGTGGACCACTGACAGTGAACATCTATTCCCACCATGCTGATGGCTGAGAGTCTGGGCCACAAACAACTTCTAGCAGGCTCAATAAGAATGCCACCACCCTGTGAGGATTTGGCGAATGGAGAACCAATTTTTGAGAACATTTTTTTGGCTTCTCCTGGGTTTGCTGAGTTTGCCAGTAAAAATTAGTCATGAGGTGATGCAGATTGGCTCTTGCCAAAGAATAAATGTTTGATGGTTACGGTTAACATCCATCAGAGTTTTTTGGGAACTCAGTGTAATGAGTATGCCCTCGGCTGTTTAGAAGAGTTGTGTGTGTTTGTGTGTAAACATCTTCAAACTCCAACATTCCCAGATTTTTTTTTTATGAGCCGGAGCTATTATTTTGCTATATCTGGAGTTTCTCATGGTGTGACATTGGGTACAAATCTGTCAATACCTTATTTCCCCTTCACTCAGATGAGTTAGGACT